TTCTTTAGCGCCCCTATGATATTTGATGGCATTAACATACTTAGTCCAAGAGTTGCTCCATCATCAATCAGTATTTCTAGCTCCAAATCTGTGATCTTCCCTGTGGATCTGAATCCCACACTGTAGGTTATCTTCATGGGATGCCTCCCACCAGTCATGATCATATCTGTCTTGCGGTTTACATAGGTCCTCATAGGACGCTGCAGTTTATTAGCTGCAACAGCCCACGCTGTTGCAACCTGGGAAGATGTAAAAGCTTTTGACATTTTTGGTCTTTTTCTTGCAGAAAGTGAGTGAGAAAGAGGAAAGTTTTCGAAAAACTTACTGGCATTGCTTTGACAGATTTTCCTCCAAAACCACCACCGACACGTCTTGTTATGATACAGACTTTGTTTTCAGAATGCCTAGGCAAGCAGCAACAGTGGAGTGTACATACTGAAGGGTCTGACATGAACTATAGACTACAATGGAGTTGTCTTCATCTGGCATTGCCAGAGCAGTTTGTGTCTCCATGTAGAAGAAGTATTGCGAGCCAAGTGTAATCTGTTTCACATCAAAGTTATAGAGATTGAACATACATCTTTTAAAAAATGTGAAGAAGAGGCTACATTACATACATCCAAGCTGAGAACGCGATGATCGGCTTCAGCCATTCCTTTTGATGTGTCTCCAACTTATTGTGGGTATAAGAAAGGGAAAATCTCGAACAAACTAGATTTCTTGACTACTTCTTCCGTAGACAAGATCGGTAGTTCCAAATCCTCTGTTTCATATGTAACTACTGCAACATTGGCTGCAATATCCGCATGTCTCTGCGTATCTGCAACCTACAACTTTATGTGTTACTAAAATCAGTGTTAATGAAGCTCAAACTCATGGAAAATAATAGACTTACCACGAGGGTAATGGACTTGCCTACACAAGTGGTGACCTCCTCTGCGAATAAAGGCTCAGTGCTAAATGCAAACTTCATACCAACATTCTGTCTACCTTTAGGATCATTCTTGTAAGAAATAATTGCAAGAACACTGTCAGGTACAGAGTTTTCCTTGAAATGAATACATTTTATCCGTTCGTATGGCTGTGCTATAAATGAAAGGTCCATAGAGGCAGATATTTGGGAGCTGGAATGTCGTCCACATAAACAGGTTCACCAGAAGCTTGAAGGGAAGCTCCAGATTTAGTAACAGGCTCCCCAATGGGATAGAATTCGTCGTTTACAGGAACAATTTGTGTAGAAGACAACATTGGCAACGGCTTTGGAGGATCGAAGTAGTAACCATTTGATGTTTTTTCTGTTGTATGACTCGAAAATAACTCGAAAAGGAATCTTGGCGCCTAGCTTGACCTGTAAGCAAGATTGGTTGTACCGTTTTAAGGCACGACGATATTGCCAAGTAAGGTAATGGCTTCATACAAAACATTTTCAGTGATTACTTTCCCATAGAGGAACTCCTTAACTTCCTTACACCTAATAGCGTCTTTGGTCCCGTAAGCACCAAAAACCAATCTACAGTTAATTACCTTTGTATCCTTCCCTTCAGCCAAGAAAGCAGCATTCAAATAAGGTTAGAGCGCTTCCTTGTGGACGCGGTGCAGCTCGATATCATTCCCTTCAGCTAAGAAAGCAGCATTCAAATAAGTTTGTTTCAGAATTGCCAAAATGGAATTACAATACTCAAAACCGGATTAAAAGCCTCGAGAGGAGGTCCCTGAAGGAACTCTTCCACTGTTAGCTTTTTAATTCCTCTTGACAAGCTCATAATGTTAACCGATGCACCAGATGCAATAAGGAAACTGTTTTCTCTGAGCCATTACAAGGTTTCCACCAATGCTACCAAAGTTCCTAATAAACCTCGCAGCTATCTTCTCCATATGAGTAGCAAGTTTCCCAAACATCTTTTCAACTCGAGGCGAGACTCGAACTACCTTTAGAGCAGCAATTACTTTAGATATTGTTACCACAGCTCCTATCTCAACCCCATTCTTGTTTTCTCTTATCGCTTTCATCTCCGGTATTCGAGTTATATCTATGTATTTGTCGTAATTATGCTCTCTTTCATCCTTATAGTATCTTGTACCAGTATTACCAGCAACCAATTTCATAGAAACTCCATTACCATTAGCCTAACAAGCTCCCAGTAACCTTTGAAGCTCCTCAACACTCGCCGGGCTACACCATCGGTACATTCCAGAATCTGTAGACTTAATCTCATCCTTGAGAAACTCTAGAAATGTACAGACACGCTTCTTACTATCAAACCGAGGTAAACTCTTATTGGAATCACCTTTCTTGCAGAAAGAGTTGAAACCAAGATCCTCAATGTCAACATCAGAGGCAAAGCTCTTGCAAGCATCACCAATCGGACGGTATCCAGTACACCAACATAAGTTTCCGGAGACAGCTTTCTCTGCCTCCAGAACAGTAAACTCAGAAGAAGATTCAGTCTTTTCAGAGTCTAAGAGAGCAGAGTAGAGAGAAACACACATTCCAGGTGTGCAGAAATTGCACTGATAGGCGTGGAAACCGGAGAAACGATTGTGAATCAAGTGGAAACCGTCTCTGCTGTTTCCAAGTCCTTCTGATGTAGTGATGCTGCAATGGTTTATATTGCAGAGGAGCGTAAGGCAAGAGCTGACTGTGAGATATTTGACGGTTTTTAGAATAGGATTGTATTTGGAGAGAAGAACAACACAAGCACCACATCCTCCTGAACCAAACAAGAACATACAGTATCAGATAAATGAACAAGAAGAAGAAAAGGAGAATCGAGAAATGGACTCACCTTCGCCGCAGCTGAGCTTAACGCTTTTGAAAGGAGTCTGATATCGAAGGAACTCTAACAATGTTGTTGAAAGGTCGACGGAGGAGAGGTCAAGCTCGAACTTTTTTCAAGACACTTGACCGGAAAAGATAAGTGCACTTTGATGACAGAGGTAGCCAAAGCCTTTTCACATATACCGAAAATCGGGATATCACAAATGGCTCCTCCACTTTGAGCTCTCCAGAAGCGAACACTACAGGAAATACGAGTTTTAATAGCACACGAGGATAGCGTTTATTTGAATTAAGCTATCATTTTGTATCTGTTTTTTTTGTAATAGTGGTAAATATGCGTGATCGCTATAATACGTGTGATATTGAAATTCGCGGAATAGTTTTTTTGTAAAATCATTTGTTTTCATAGCAGACTTGTACTTTAAACGCTGTAATATCTTATGGCGTAAAATTTTTTTTCGATTCCCTCCATACTTAGAATTTTTTTAGTGAGGAAATACTGATTTTTCCCTTTTCGATTTCCCCATACACTTTCACTCTTTCTATCAAATAGCTTTTCGATCTGCTAGAAACCCAGAAATCGTTAACAATCAACGATTTCAAATCCTTTGATTCTCCGATTTCAAACTCAGAAACTCTTAATCTCTTAATATCCTGCCAATTTCATTATCTGTTCTTATACTTTGCTTCATAACTCGAGACCCAGAAACCTTCTCCAATTATTGAAATCTCCGAGTTTGAAATCTGTAAACCTTCTCCGATTCCGATAGACTTCCGATTTCCAAAGCGTACCATCGACAATTGCGACTAACTCTTGCAGTCGAAGAATCACATTCTCATCTTGAAAAACCTGTTCGATTTGAAGGTACTAACTTTGATATATCTGTGCATGTTAGTCCGTTGGTTTTGAGTTGTTATATTATAATCTGAGTTTAAATCTGATCTATTACGCAGGAAGGAATTGTTCTTGTAAGGATTTCTTCAGGGGAACGTAATTTTTAGGCTTGATGGCTTCAGTAATTCGCGAATCATCTTATTGTTTGTTTTAGTTGAACTGATTGATTATTTTTCTTATCTTTTGCAGTTGGAGCCCATCAAACGAGGAAGAAAAAAAAACTTTAAAGGTATAGCAATGACTGAGATTTGATTCTCTATTGAGTTGTTTAAATGTCTTTGTGAAGTTGATTAAGTGATTGTGTGGTAAATTTGTGTATATTTTGTTGGAGCTGTGGATTCATTGTGGTACCATGGATAAGGCTTGGGTATGGTTACCAAGGTATGAATTTCTTTCTGTTAAATTTTGTATACTTAATTGCATACTTCTTTTTGTATCTTTCCATTGAGTTTGTGAATATTAATCTTGGTAATGATCTTGCCTTATAGGGCTAGCCTTGAATACGAGCAAGGTGCTACTTGTTTTGTGTATGAATCAGCAAAGAAATTGGGAAATCTTTCTCATATGTTCTGTCCATGTATCGACTGCCGCAATGTTTGTCATCAACCACTAGGGACAGTGTTGGATCATTTAGTGATTAAGGGGATGGATCACAACTATAAGAGGAATAAATGCTGGAGCAAGCATGGTGAAATAAGGGCAGATAAGAGTAGTGAAGTATCAACATCTGAGCATGAGGCATACAATTTGATTAGGACTGCTTTTTTAGCAAGAGAATACAGTGGAAGTTCTGAGGGTCAGCCGGGTGATCAGTTTGAAGATGATGGACATGGAGAAGAATCTGAGTTTAGGAAAAAGCTACAAGACGCTGAAACTCCATTGTACTCGTCTTGTCTCAAGTACACCAAGATTTCTGCAATCATGGGGCTTTACAGAATCAAGGTGAAGAGTGGAATGTCAGAAAACTACTTTGATCAGCTCCTAATGCTAGTCCATGACATGCTGCCAGAGAGTAATGTTCTCCCAAAGTCGACGGATGAGATGAAGAAGTTCCTAAAGATGTTTGGTTTTGGTTATGAAATCATTCATGCCTGCAAGAATGACTGTGTTCTTTTTCGGAATGAATATGAGGATATGGTTAGTTGTCCTAGATGTAAAGATTCGAGATAGGAAAGGGACAAACACACTGTTGAGGAGAAGAAAGGGATTCCTGCGAAGGTGCTACGGTATTTTCCTATCAAAGATAGATTCAAAAGGATGTTTAGATCGAAAAGGTTGGCTGAGGAGTTGACTTAGCATTTTTCAAATGCCAGTGAAGATGGTACAATGAGGCATCCTGTTGACTCATTAACTTGGGTTCTGGTGAATGACAAGTGGCCGGAGTTTGCAGCTGAAGCTAGAAATCTCAGACTAGGACTCTCGACTGATGGGATGAATCCATTCTCAATACAGAACACCAAGTACAGTACCTGGCCGGTGTTGTTAGTTAACTACAATATGGCTCCAACCAAGTGCATGAAAGCTGAGAATATCATGCTCACAGTGCTTATTCCTGGTCCAACTGCACCAAGCAATAACATTGACGTCTATCTACAACCTTTGATAGAGGATCTTAGAGATTTATGGAATGAAGGTATGGAAGTGTATGATGCATTTTCTAAAGAGACGTTTACTCTAAAGCTATATTGTTGTGGACAATTACTGACTACCCTGCATTGGGAACATTGGCTGGATGCAAGGTGAAAGGGAAACAAGCATGTAAAGACTGTGGAAAAGATACACCAAATCGGTGGCTAAAGTTCAGTAGAAAGTATGTGTATATGGGCAACAGGAAACGACTCAGACCTGATCATGCTTTCAGAAAGAAAAAAGTTTGGTTTGACAATACTATTGAGAGTGGGACTGCAAATAGAATTCAAAGTGGAGGTCAGATATTTGAGACACTCAGAGGTTTTAGAAATGATTTTGGCAAGCCGGTGGATAAGAGAAGCAAGAGGAAAAGAACAGATATAACAGAAGACGAAGTGCCTGCACATGAAGAAACTGACGAAAACTCTGATCTCTGGAGGTGGAAAAAGCGATCTGTCTTCTTTGACTTACCATATTGGAAGGTAAAACTTCATTATAATTATTTTGTTATGTATCTGATGCATTCATATATAAATAACTACTTATGTCACTGGTTGTAGGATATGCCGGTGTGTCACAACATTGATGTGATGCATGTGGAGAAGAATGTGTGTGATGCTTTGCTGTCTTCGATGATGCATAACTGTAAATCCAAAGATGGAGTGAATGCACGCAAAGATTTAGAAGATATGGGCATTAGAAAAAACCTACACATTGAGGTACGTGGGAAGAGAACATATTTGCCACCTGCTGCTTATTGGTTGTCTAAGGATGAAAAAAGAAGATTTTGTATGAGGTTGTCTAAATTCAGAGGTCCCGATGGTTATTGTGCCAATATTGCCAATTGTGTTACAGTGGATCCACCTGTAATAGGTAGTATGAAGTCTCATGATCATCATGTTCTCATACAGAATCTGTTTCCTGTGGCATTGAGAGGCTTACTGCCAAACGGGCCAAGAGTTGCAGTTAATCGATTATGTAACTACTTCAATAGATTATGTCAGCATGTGATAGACCCTGAGAAGTTGATAACCTTGGAGGCTGAGATTGTTGAAACTTTATGCTTGATGGAAAGATACTTTCCTCCTTCACTCTTCGATATTATGTTCCATCTGCCTGTACATTTAGCAAGGGAAGCAAGATTAGGTGGACCAGTACATTTTCGTTGGATGTACCCTTTTGAGAGGTAATCGTCTGGTTGATTAGCTAAATTACAATGATATTTTGGTGGTAGTAATATTTTACTAGCGTTTTCTGTTTGAACTGCAGGTACATGAAAACATTGAAGGCATATGTTAAGAATTTTGCAAGACCAGAAGCATGCATGGCTGAGGGATATCTAGCTGGAGAATGCCTTGCCTTTTGCCTAGATTTTCTGCATAACTCTGTACCTACTGAAGAACCAGTCAACCGTAATGAAGATATTGTTTCAGAACATTTATCACTTGAAGGCCGACCTCTATATAAGGCTACAGAAATTACCCTTACAGACAAGGAACGTGACATAGCTCACAAATATGTTCTTATGAACACAGCAGTTATGGATCCCTTTATTGAGTAAGTTCTCTTGATGCGACTATTATTTCAACATGCTAGTATATACTATACATAGTGTGTAATGTATATAACTTCTATATTACTAGGTTGCATTTGGAAGAACTCGAGTCTACAGATGCGAGATGTGCCAGAAATAAAACTCTTAAATGGAAATATCACAATGAACGGTTTGCAAAGTGGATTAGGCAAAAGGTATGCAGTAGTTGTTTTACGTTCTTCTAAAGTCAGTTTTGGTACTAATGTATTTGTTACATGTTCTTGTAAGGTACCAACTAACTCAAAACATCATTCCACAAGGCTCAGATGGCTTGCTTTTGGACCTAGACATATTGCTCATTCGTATAAGGGATATGTTGTTAATGGGCATCGTTTCCATATAGAGGACGTAAAGCGGAAAACTCAAAACAGTAGAGTCACATATAAAGCATTGTCTATGTGTAGGTCTAGTGCTCGAGATTCAAGACACATGGCAGACATAGTTTCATTTTATGGTGTGATAAAGGAGATCATTTTGTTGGACTATCACATGTTCGAGGTTCCATTATTTAAGTGTACTTGGGCAAACAAAGGAAATGGAGTTAAAGAGGAAGATGGATTTACACTGGTGAACCTCCAAATGAACCAGTCCTCATATCTTCAGGATCCATATATCCTCGCATCACAGGCTAAGCAAGTCTTCTACTCAAGAGAGGATGATGATTCCCCTTGGTATGTAGTTATGAAGGCGCCACCAAGAGGATATCACGAGTTAGAAACAGAAGAGGAATTCACATCTGCCCCTTCATCAGTTCAGGAATGTGAAGATTTAGGGAACCAATCAGATGAAGATGAGAGCTTTTGTGTTCGAGCTGATTGTGAAGGAGTCTTGGTCACGGAATAGTTTTTCAAAGAAAAATTTACAGTTTGAATTTCTGTTATGTTTCAGGTAAGAAATGAAGCCAAATTCTCCTGTACGTAGAAGTAAGCGTCAAGCAGGCATAGAAGTCACCCCTGTAGTAGAAACAAAAAGGAAGAAGAACAAGAAGCAAATTCACAAGGACAAAGATACTGATCAGATACCTGAGAATACTGAACAAGAAGCAGGTAGTGATCAGATACCTGAGAATACATCCATAGAAGCTGATAATGTTGAAATTCAAGAAGAAGTTGTTGAGTCGTCTCCTGGTCAAGAGAAGAACATTGCTGATGACGTTGAAGATATAGAACACAACCAACATCCGGCTCAAGAATTTGTGCCTCCTCCTACTGTGCCTATCAATGTACCTCCTCCCAATGCACGTGTTTCCGAGTCTACTCAAGATGCACAGACTCAAGAGTCAGAGACACAGAAAAAGAATACAAGGGGACCAACAAAGATGCGGAAAGTATCCAAACATCATGACAACAAGGTGGAAGTTGAGTTTACAGGTGTCGGTGAACCAGTGGGACCTGGTTCAGTCACACTTTCCTCATTTCTTGGACCTCTGGTAAGGGAGCACGTACCAGTAATACTTGATGACTGGAGACATCTGGAGGAAGAGACAAAAGACACGCTGTGGGAGGAAATTCAGGTAAAAAAATCTTAAATACATTACGGAAACGTGTATTTGATATTTACAATCCCATTATGTAAACAATCTTTTTGTAGGGGAGGTTCAATTTGACAGAAGACTGGCAAAAAACTCCGTTTTTAAGCAGATGGGTTGCTTGTGGAGGGCTTCGAAATCTAGACTGACTAATCAAGTTCGAGCAGCCAAATGTAAGGAGCAATTACAGAAGCTAAAACCGTGTAACATTCCATCTACGACAGCTTGGAACAACTGGGTTAAGAGTGGGACCAGTTCACAATTCAAGGTACTGTATGTCAATTTATTCATTATATGATGATTATATATGATATTTCGTTCAGTAAGATCATCTGTTATTTGACTAGGTACAAAGTGACAAATACAGGGAACTAAGGAGGGCTCAGATTCCTCACACCACAAGTCGTAAAGGAATGGTTCGCTTAGCTCATGAGATGGTATGTTTATACTGTTACAGTAATTAGTAACATAGAAAAAACAAAAATAACGCTACATGATTTTTGTTTTAGAGGAAAAAAAGTTCAGACCCTAGTAAAGTGAGTAGAAGTAAGGTGTGGGTAGCAGGGCACACACATGCTGATGGAACACCTGTAAGAGAAGAATTTGCGGAAACAATTGTAAGAACTTCACTTGAATTCATATACATGGCTGTTATTATACTAGATAACTGAATTCTAAATAATTGTATTTATAAATATGCTAGGAAAAAATAAAATCAACTGATAGTGAAATGGAGTCCACAGCAACGCTAATATCAGAGATGATGCTGTCAGCCGTGTATTGGGAAAAGACAAACCAGGAAGACTGAGAGGGATGGGCAGAGGGTTTACTTACACTAAGTTGGCATTCCTACAAGCTAGAGATTCACATGTACAAAAACTAGAAGCAACACAAGCAGAGTTGCTTAACAAAATTGAGGACCTTCGCCTTGTTGTTCAGGACTTAGCTGGGAAGAAGGTAAATGGTCATTCTTGTTTAAATTGTTGTAAAATTTGTTGTTTTACTGCGCTGTTACTGATTCATTTGCTATAAAATTTGTTGTCCATCTGGAACTTGTTAGAGAGATAGTGATGAGGTCTCTAAGTCCGAAGGAAGCAATGTTAGCAGAATAGGTGTTAGGTGTCAGCTACTGGACTGGTGTAGTAATGACGATGTTGTCGTCGCTGAAGGAGAGTTTTGTTCATCTGACCATATGTATAAGCTTGGTCGGATTCCACTAGGACCAAACGCTGCTGCTGTTTTGGTGAAATCTGTAACACAACCAGGTGCATACATCTGGAGGCCCACCGCAACCATTTCACCACTTTGGGACAGTATAGGAATCAAGATTGCATGGCCAGCTGATAAGGTGATATTAGATAATGACATCAACTCACCTGGAACTAAGCCTGCTGGATCCTCGGTAACTATTCCTTCCTAGTATTCAGTAACTGAAAACATTTCTTATTCAGTAATGCTTAATATGTTGTTTTTTTTCTAAACTACTTAGGCTGAAAGGTCTTCTGATGGAAGGGTTTACATTTTTGATTGGAATGAGGAAGATGAGATAATTGGTGAGGGCATATTGTGTTCTACTGACCCAAAAGACTTGGTTAACAATATACCTCTCGGACCAAATGCTGTAACTGTGAAAGTTGATGTAGTTAGTAAAGACAGTGCTTTTCTGTGGAGACCAAGTGCTGAAATGTCAGTCTTAGGTGATGCACGTAATGAGGACATTGCATGGCCAATTCATAAGATACAGTTAGTCGTTGAATCTGAGACAATACCTTCAGTACATTTCTTCTCCGCATAAGTTTGTGTTCTGAATAATGATTGATGTGGTTATGTTTTTTTAATTTGTGTTTTGGAATTCTGATTTGTAGAGTACAAGTAACAGTGCCAATAGTAGCAAAGGAGGGAAACAAAAATGTTTGTTGTTAGACTGCGATGGATCTGGAGAAACTGTTTCACAAGGTCGAGTGTCTTCAACTGATCCAGCAGAGAAGGTTCATTTCGTTCCTCTAGGCCCAAATGCGAGCAAACTATGGGTAGAATTGTCGAAGGTTGATAACGCAAGAGTGTGGAGACCAAATTCCGAAGTTGAATTCATCACCATTGCAGTGGGAACAACCGTAGCTTGGCCTAACGACAAAATAAAAATGCTGTGACATGTTTGAATTTTATGCTATAAATTCTAATCTGCTTGTACTTTGGATTTATAAGCTTTAAATGGTAAAAACACTTATCTTCAAATATTGTACTATGGTTTGATATTAATGAATTCAAATTTTTAATGACTGAAAACATATACAGAATAATTTAATTAAAGTTAACATTAGAATAAGCTTTAAATTTATTACTTAAATATAAAATACATATTCAAAATTTTTTGAAATTAAGACTTATATATATTCATAAAGAAAAATTTCGTTTTTAATTCACATTTAGGGTTTAGGGTTAATGTTTAGGGTTTAGAGTTAATATTTCAGGTTCTATTTAAATCATTATAATTTGTATCAAATCGGTAAATAAAATTAATTTAGAATACTTTTCATAAAATATATCATTTTATGTACAAAATTAAAATTAGTATTGTATTTCACATTTCAAAGATTAAGTCTTTAGGGGTAAGGGTTTAGAGTTTAATGTTTAGTTTTTTAATATGAAGCATTATAATTTCTCACTCGAACTTTAGAACTATAAAGTTACACAATGCTTTTCATACAATATATCAATATATGTAGTAATAAATTTAAAATAGTATTTTATTTCACATTTTGAAGATTTAGCCTTTAGGGTTTAGGGATTAGAGGTTTAGGGCTTAGGGGTAGGGTTGATTAGAAATTAAATATATGTTGAACTCGATTTATAATTTTCTTTTGTCATGAAATTTAAAAATAAAGTTCTCCATTATTGGAATTACTAAATCTATAATATTTACATAATTGTAATTTTTTTTAAAAAATATAAATACCTTTTTTATAATTTGGAAATGTAAAATTCTTATTTTGAACAAAAAGGACCAATAGTTAATGAGTACTAGGATCCATTATGTGGCACCAGCTCCACCGTACGATCAATACTCTAACGCTGGGATAATAACCGTTGGATCAATAATCTTGATTTATAATCAATCTCAACCGTACGATGATATAATAGTACTCTATTTCTCCACCGTAGGATCGATGATATTAAAACCAGAACCCCTAAATACAATGTCTTCTTCTTCGTCGCCGTATATTCATCTCACTCGAAAATCTCAGAGTTAATCGGGTACGTTATTCTTTACATCTCTCTCATTCCATCTTCTCTCAATGTTATAGATGCCGATACATTTGTGACCGATTCGCATAGTTATATTGTTTAATTGCCGTTTCTTCTTCTTACCTCGACCATATGGTTTTGTATAAACCCTATGATTGCTATAGTGTAGGGCTTTCTTCACCGTTTGTCCTTATTCTCTCAGTCGTTTTGGTTTCTCTCACTCAGTCTTTTGGTTTAAATAAATTGCGGGTCAAACCCTAAATTTGTTTCGTATTTTGAAATCAACTTTTGTATCTTTGATATCTTTGATATATTACAACATCATTTTAAGCAAGTATACACATCGGCTTTTTGTATCTTTAATTGGCATTTGTATATGATATCGTTTTCTTTTATTGTGTAAAGTTGAAGCATTTTCATTGTGTTTGGTTGTTTCTTGTCTACTTAATGAAGTTGTTTTTTTTAGCGAAATTTAGTTCACTTATTTGTTCTGCTAGTAGTTACTAGTGTTAGATACGCTTTCATTGTGTTTGATACTGTAAATGTTTCCCTCTTTCATTTTGTTTGATACTGTTATTGTTAATTCCTGTGTTGCTTACAATCAGATTCAGAAATGGAAGCAAGGAAAGTAATAGTCTGCGGACTCCCGGCAAAAGGAATCATACCACAGATCCGCCAAAATCCACGACAAGATGCAGATGATGAAAGAGGAAGTGATGTCGAGGAAATCACAAGAGAACAGTTCAGGAGAGGTTTAGGAACCAGCTTAGTCCGCCTTGAGGAACTCGAAGAAGACATTGCACCAGAGTACCGACTAGCTATCAAAAGAATCATAAAGGAAGAACGTAAATCCGCTATGCAAAGACACCCCAAACAAGAAGAAGGACAGTCCTCCCGAGGCATGGCTCGTCGAGATAGCTATAAGGAGAAGAAGCAGAAAAAAGTGATTTCAAATTTGTAGGTCTTTTGTAATCTTTAACTTTTGGATTTTCATTTTAATAAATTAATTAGGCTTCTCTGTTTAAATTAAATTTATTTATAATTTGATATTTACAGAAAAATACCATTC